CTTTTTACCGAACAAACTTTCTATAATTGATCCTACGTTGAGAAATCAGAGGTTTTATGTTACGTTTTTTTGGATTATTTTGACGTCATGAATAGTAGAATGATTATAAAAATTTAATGGAAAGAATTTCAAAATTCTGTTTGATAGAAGGTTAGATGCTGCACTGATAAAACAATCCGGGTAATGATCTATCTCTATACTTAAAAAAGTCGCCATTAAACCCTTGAAGGGTTTATTCCAATGTGATGAACCCTTTTAGCGTTTATTAGTCGAAGGGTTTATGACTCTATGAGTTTATGAAAACTCAAGGGGTATATGATGGGTACATAAGGATTCATTATTCTACGATTTTAAGATAAGAGTATATCCTTCAACGGATGATCGTAGATTGTTGTTCGCTTTCAAGGTAGAGGTATTTTATTCTTGGTTATCAGGTTTACTATTTTACTTTCTCGTTGAAAGGGTACATCACTCTGCCTTTCTGGGTAGAGTAAGCTATCTTTCTCAGAAACAGTTCGTTATTCTACGCCTAAGAGTAGATTCCGCTACCATTTCCTGCTAAGGGTTTAGTATTCCACGCTCAACAGTTGATTCATCTACATCTTAATAAAAAGGGTTTAGTACTGTACGTGGATGCTCGATTCTATGCCTCTTTATTGACAGGTTTTTTTTTTATTCTACTGACAAATATCGTCTTATCTACCTTATCATCTCAAGGGATAGTTTTATCGTCGGTCGGTAGTTGATTCTACTTCTCTTTTATTGAAAGAAGTTCATTGTTCATCGTACAGGAGTTGATATTTCCGCTCTTTCATCGAAAGGGTTTATCATTCTACATAGAGAGATCGATTGTTCTACTGTTTGATCGGAAAGGTTTATTACTCTACGCACAGGGGTTGATTATTTTACCTTTGCGTCAAAAATGGTTTATTAGGGTGTCGGTGTGAGGGTCTGCGTCTGGTTAATGTTATTTTATACAGTCACTCACGCGCTAACTTGATGAAAAGAAATCGTAAGATGCCCATCGCTTTTGTTTTGCACTGGTTACAACCGAAAGGAAAATATGAATCACTCATGTGGTGAAATTGCGTTGTACATGAAACAATGTTTTGATATGCAAAAATAAGAAGTAGCGAAATTACAGTCACACTTTATTGACTCAGGTAAACATTTTATGTTAGAAAAAAAGAAAAAAAGATGTAATACCTATATATGTATATACAAAGCAATACCTCTTACAGACTGACATTAAAAAAAAGCATTTTGATATCGGCTGGTAAGTAGTCTTATTCGATCATCGATATTTTTACATTAGCGATGTGTTTGATTTTTACAATATAGCAGTGTAGATAATAATGACAGCAAAAAAGAGGAAAGATAAACATGCATTTTTTTGTGTTTAATATGAAGATATTGAAAAAACTGAAATAGAAAGTGTTGCAGAGGCCCCGCTGTAACTTGAATCAATTCGCAAAATAGAAATTTATGTTTCTATTTAACCAATCAACAACAAATTTCCTATTTTCGATTCCTCACCCAGGTCGAACTTTCCGGTCCCGGAAACAGCCGGTTCTGTGCTATTCCGGAGATTTCATGGAAGCAGCATTCCGGTGAAAGGACCCGGTGACCGGGTTTATCCGGTTCCGGCCGGAATCGACAGGAACCTGTCAAAACTGGTAGCCGGATACGGTTTCCGGATTCCTGCATCGAATTCCGGACAATCCTCGGTTGGTTCCGGTCGGAAACAGAGAGTTTCTTGCAGGTTTTCGCCGGAAATTCACGGAATACTGCTTCAGGAATCATTGTCCTGGGAATCTGACTCTGAATCTTTTCTTTACTATTCTTTTTTTCCTATTTATACTATACAACCCACACCCACGCACCCACACCCTCAGTGTATGATACACCCTTTTCAAGTTGTTCAGTCGTATAAACTCTATGATAAACCTTTTTATTTTGTCTTTTGATGGGTAGATAAAAGGGTTTATCTCATGCTGCTAAACGGTAGAAAAGGGTATATCATACGTTGCATTTTCATAAACGCTTTAAACGTTTATCATTCGGCCCTTTTTTTATCAGTGTGTGACTAGCTTTAATTAAAAACTAGATGGTATTCGAGTTTCACTCGTATACGAAATGCGGTGCGAAGCACGAGTCGAGTACACGAAAAAATAAAAAAAATTAACGGAAATGGAACAAGCAATCTTAAACTTAATTAGACATCGTTATGGTCTGATTAGTTTCATATTCGCTTGAAATATGCACAGTTTCCTGTCTTCAGCAGTTGTAATGAAAAACAAAAAATCATTACATTTTTTTTAGTTCTCAAGTAATCATAATAGAATTCATTGCTGAGAAAGTTTTTTTTCGTGACAATCACCATAATCCCAGAGAATGGTTTTGATTGAACATTAAATTATTTCAATGATTCACTATCTTAGATCAGATGATAAGAAATAGACTATTCGCTAAGATTACTTGATGACGTCACTTTAATTATCTCGAAACTCTCTTATGATAAAAACCTTTCAGAGTCATCATTTTCGAATGATATTTTTAAGCGAACGAAACTTAGTATTGAAAATTGGAAAAAAGATGTAACAAGTTCGATCTCGATACTTTCATATCTAGTTTGAATGGATTTTCTAGCATTTACGGTTCCCTAGATCATCGCGCTACTTTATTAGAACTTTTATGTGTACTCAAGTTAGAAAGAAACAAAAAACTAGATGGTATTCAAGTCTTACTCGAATACGAAATGCGATGCGAAGCAGGAATCTCGATCCAGGAAAAATCTACAATTCAGAGAAATCTTGAATACATTTTATGTCGACATGATGAAATTCATCACTGAGAAAACTCTATTCTTACTTAGCGATACATTTTTATAGATCGATTTCGATTGATCGATTAATTATCTCCATGATTCATTATCTTAGATCAGCTGTAAATGAATAGACTATAGTGGCTAACATATGTTCATGACGTCACTTTAATTATCTCTTGATAAATTTCTTTCATTTTCGTCATTTCGGAACCACATTTCTGTGTGAACGGAACTTCAGATTGAAGATTAGAAAAAAGATCTCTCAAATTCGATCTTTATACTTCGATCTCACGTTTCAATGAGTTCTCTATCATTTATGGTTCTCGAGATCATTGCGACACAAAACAACGAGATGTGCTGCGTACGCCAAGTAAGTAAACTGGATGGTATTTAAGTTTCACTCGAATACGAAATGCGATGCGAAGCTCGAATCAGATCTTCACATCGCATTAAAAAAAAACTCGCGACGGACTACATGAATGCCGTGCTTCGCACCGCATTAATTACTGCAAGCTCTGGGTTTCTTCTCATAGTGAAGTTATAAGGGTTCTCCGAAAGACCAGAAATGGACTGTATATTAGCTGTAAACTGGATCTACTTTGACATATCGCAGTGAAGTTTATACTTTGAGCGTTTCTTAGTACTACCACTCATCCCTGAAAATTTCAACTCAATTGAAGTGCTAATTGAAAAATTGTTTTTGAGGGTGAGGGAACTTAATAGACTTTCCTAGCACCTTTTTTGTAAAGAATTTTACTATGTATATTTTTGAAGACAAATCGAGTTTACTCGATAATTTGTGCGAAAATACTTTTACAATACTAGATGTCGCAATGCTTATGACTCACTGTAATTCTGGAAAATTTAACTCCAATAAGTAGAAAATATTCTTATGCAGACATATAAAGATGGTCTTTACAAATCAGTTGGCTAAAATTCAGTAATAGGAGAAAACCGTACAACGCTCAATTATGAAGTATTCAGCTCAGTGATACCCCTACCAGCAGTAAAAGCATTTTACAAATTTAGCCTAATGTGCTTAATAAATTTCTCAATCATTTTATATAACATCGTTCCATATCCAACGAATTCAGCTTCAAAGAAGACCCTTAAGAAATAATTTTTTATACAATTCATAATTAGTCTCATTTGCTAGCATCAACAAAAAGTAACGAGCGAGAAAGCTGTATTTCCTGTATGTTGTTTTAACTATATATTTTAATTCATTTATTTGCTTTGAAGATATCAACATCTATTATATTGTCGTCGCTACGTTGCTGTTGTAGCGCAACGCCTTTTTAAGTGTTTACATATATATATGTACAGATGTCAAAGCAGAATCCGTGTTCGATATGCCAGAAAGAAGCAGGAATATGCACTTGTGCAGGATGCAAAGCCTTTTTTTGTACAAAGGACTTTTTGGAACATCGTCAGTGGCTCTTCGGAGAATTTGAAAGAGTTGTTGAGGCTAGGAATCATCTTCAGGAGTCGTTGAGCGAAAGGAGTCAAATTAAACACCTTCAGGATACTCTTTTTTCTCAAATTGATCAATGGAAAAAAACTACTATTAGAAACGTGCACTATGCAGAAGACAAGGCTCGTCATCAAGTTATTAAATTACTCAATGAAAAAATTACGGACATTGAAAATGAATTTGACAATATGACTAAGCAACTTCGTGAACTTCAAGAAAGAAAAAACTTTGTAGAAGATGATCTTACACAGCAAAAAGAAAAAAATCGAAACTCTGGAAAAACAATTGCAACAGATCACCGAACCGCCCTCGTTAACTCTAAACGACGATCAGAATAAACAAATTGACTGGACTTCTGTCATATATACTGAAGACAAGCTGGCTCATTACGATAAGGTAATTTTCATCAAATTTTGGAGTAAGAAAACATATCATGATATATCAGAGTTTCGTACTAGTGATGAAAATAATGACAAACGTTGCCCTTTTCCCCACCACTTATACAAAATGCATATTTTCTAGGTGAAGGTACCATGCCCATTAGATAATACCAAGTGTTCATGGATAGGGCTGCCTGATCAAATTAACAGCCATTTGATTACATGTTCATTTGGATCTAACCGTTCAAAACTTCTAAAACTTCAGACAGTAAATGACCAACTGACAGAGCAAATAAAGCAACAGAAGAATCATATCGATATGAATGATTTTGAAGTACAACATCTAAGACAGGAAGTAGAACAGACGAAAATTCAAATCAATGTAAATGAAACAGAGATATCTCAGTTTAAAGAACAAACAGAGAAACAAAAGAGTCTGATTGATGTTAAGGAAACTGAGATTCGACAAGTGCGCGAACGATTGAAACAAAAAAATATTCAAATTAACGCACATGAAAATCATATTCACGAGTTGAAAGAAGAAACGAACCAACAACAAAGTAAAATCAATATCCAGCAAGTTGAGATTAAACAGCTGAAAGGGCAGTTAAAACAAAGAGAGAACCAATGTAGCATAAATGAAACACATATCAATCAATTTAAAGAACAAACAGATAAGCAAAAGAGTTCGATCGATATTAAGGAAGTCGAAATTCGCCAGGTGAAACAACAAATAAAACAAAAAAATATTCTGATTAGCACGCATGAAAGTCAGATTCAGGAACTGCAAGAAGAAACGAAGCAAAAAACGAGCCGAATCAATACTCTGCAAGTCGAGATTAAACAATTGAAAGAGCAGGAAAAACAAACAGAAAGTCAATGCTACAAAAATGAAGTAGATATTGATCAGTTGAGAGCAGAAACAAAGAAGCAAAATATTCAAATAAAATTGTACGAGACTGAGATTCGGCAAAAAAAAGAGCAATCAACCAAGCATGAGACTGAAGCTAATTCAAACACAGTCGTAATTCGACAATTAAAAAACAAGTTGGAGCAACGAGAGACTGAAATCAGTTCTAATACAGTGGAAATTCAACAAATGAAAGCACGATTAGAGCAACAAAAGAATGAAATTGATTTCAACACAGCAATAGCTCGACAACTGAGAACGCAGCTGGGGCGACGAGAGGCTGAAATCGATTCCAATTCGAATGTAATTAGACAACTAAAAATGCAACTGGAACAACGAGAGAATCAAATGAGCTCAATCAAAGCTCAGCTTATAAAGAAAGAACACCGTAAGTGTTTGTGTCAGCAGTGGAGCCCGGGGGTGGGGCTAGGGGGCTCGGGGGGGGGGGGGGGGGGGGGGGGGGGGGGGGGGGGGGGGGGGGGGGGGGGGGGGGGGGGGGGGGGGGGGGGGGTAACCCCCCCCCCCCCCCGCTAAATCTTTGAGGGATGAGTTTTGTTTTATAAAAAGATGTATAAGTCTTAGCAATTGAATATTTGAGCACTTTAGTTATTGTGTGACGCTAGTAGCTGCTTCGGAAGAGAATAAAGTACTGTAATTATAATTCCCAATCAGGTTCTGGAGGTTATAATCTATCCCTCCAACACATAGCTAATGATTGGAAGATTTTCAGATAATATTTTGTTCATTACCACTCACGCAGAATGCATTTCAGACGAGTCGAAAGTTATTCTATGGCTATAGTTTTGCGCTTTTTCGAAGAGGGACTTATAAATGTTGTGGATATTTTTATTCAAATATAGGGAAGGATTTAGTGCACAGCGTAAAAAGTTACTTTCCATGCTGCGCTAACAATTTTTTGTTTTGAACCGTAAGCTATTTTACGAATCTGATAAGAATTGGCGTAATCCGTCATTTTCTGGAGCGGATACTTCCCGAAAAAGTGGGATATTGATTTAAACTAGCTTTAAATTAATTAATTTTGCACACATTTCTTAAGAGCTCCTCTTAACGTAAAATGATTTTTGGAGAAAAGTCGATTTTTTAGAAATGAGGTTTAGGAAGAACAGTAACTGGGATGCCTGATGGAAAGCAAAAAAACTTCGTATAGCATATTTTTTAGGATACCTTCGGTTTTGCAAGTTGATTTATAGGGTAGGATACGAAGTTTTCGCTTCGAACTGGAAACCAAAATACAAAAATGAACGGAAAAAGTTTCTATCTTAGCCTATTGGTTTGATTTTCTGCAGGCTATTTCACTGATTACTTTCGAAGAAAAACAGAATACTAGATCAATTTCTATAACGGAGACCAAATTTTGATAGTAACTAAAATAGTTTTGAGCTAGTCGAAATTACATTCCGTTGAGTTACAAGTGAAAAACAATTTTGCCTAATAACTTTCTGAACACGCATTAATACATTTTTGCATTAGACAAAAACACATCTTTCAAAAGTCTCTTCAGGTATGAGTAATAGTCGACAAACAGCAAAAGTCAAGTTATTAAACTTTTTCAGTTTCGGTTGATTTTTTTAATTTTTTTCTTTTTTGGGCATTAAGAACTTGCTTCAGTTTTATATAGTTTTGCTGCACTATCAGATACAATAATAGTCAAAGTTTTTGCCACCCATCCTATTAAAAAAATCAAAATACATTGAAAAAAAAATTGTCGTGTGACTCAATAGATGAGGGAAATGAGCCGGGGGGGGGGGGGGGGGGGGGGGGGGGGGGGGGGGGGGGGGGGGGGGGGGGGGGGGGGGGGGGGGGGGGGGGGGGGGGGGGGGGGGGGGGGGGGGGGGGGGGGGGGGGTGGG